TATATATATATATATATATGGTGTATAAACACATTTTATTACAAAAATTAAGAATTATATATCTAAATCATACAATCATTTTGATTAAAATTAAAAGTTAGTAAATAGTCACATAATCACTTGAAAAAATACTTTATATTTTGTTTTAATATTTTTATGTGTTCTTTTTTAATATTATTCGTTTAAGTATGATCTAATTGTTTGTATTTATAATTTTCATCATTTCATGTACTCCTAATGGCCTATATTTATATATAAAATATAATTTTTTTTCTATTTTTGATAAGCTATAAAATATAATTTGTTAATGTATACTCACTTGTTATTTTAACAAATTATAATTATAATTATCTTTAACTATTTTAAAATATAACTTGTTAACACATTTTTAAATAATACATTAATATATATATATATATACTGACATTTATGATATAAATTTATTATTGTGTAATTTATTTGTGAATTTTATTAAACAAGATAAATTTATATTGTAATATAATTATTTTATAAAGAATAAAAAGAGTTGGTGTCGCTCCTTAATGTAAAATTGGTTTTGGGGCTGCATTTGAACGCTTCCTTACGACCATATCTATTATGTCGACTTTAATGGGTCATGACAACCCATAAAAAAGGTGATCCATTATTAGATCAATCTTTCACTACATTGATAACTTTGATGATGTGACGATGGTGATCACAATTTTTTATATTAATTTTTTGAAATTTCTGTTTTAAATAATTAAAGTTGGATAACCATACTCCTTGGCTTCTTTGTCTTCATCATATGGTAGTTTACCAAATTTGAAGAACATAATTACGAGTGTCATTTCGAATATATTTGTGGACCAAGCCAAATTGGTCTATATGTTATTGTTACCGTCTGTTTTCTTAGGAATATCAACACTATGGTTTTTTATTTTTTTCTTTCAGGAGTTTTCAAACACGAGACAATTTTTGTCAGAGATCAGCAGACATAAAATAGATGAATATTCTATCTCAAGTTAAGTTTTATGTATTGTAAGTTAGTCAATTAAATTAAAAATGTTTGTTGATATTGTATTAGCTAATAAATTGAGTATGGCAATTTTATTATTTGCTTATAGCTATAAACACTCTGTTTGCATAAAAAAAAATCACAAATGCTTATAAAAAATAAAATAAATTAAATTAAAAATTTTGCATTTTCTTTTACAAATGCATTAGTCAAACATATTTTGTAATAATTATTTTAATAATATGTCTAATACAAATTATGATGAGTGAATAATATAAAAATCTTTAGATGAGGCATAGATATAAATAATAAAAGTCTAAAAAGGAAATCCATATCTACATGGCGACTTTTCCTTAATCCACTTCATTTGCGTAGCATAGTTAAGTTCCAAGTTGGGTTGCAAACTCATTGTGTCTTAATTAAGCTACGCAACTATATCTGAATTTGCTTCACGCATGTAAAAATATTAGCAGTAGCCATGACCAACTAAAATACTACTTTCAATGCTTCAACTAATTAATTATTGAAAGGGGCTGAGTGGGATTGAGTGAACGATCAAAAGAAAAAACTAGGTGATCTTGCACCATTAAAAAAATGAAGATCCAATATAAATAATGAAAATCAAAAAAATTGAACAAGTCCTATATATTAAATACAAACTTCTATCTTATTCGAAAGATTTTTTTAGAAAATTTTAAAAAAAAATTAATTTTATCGCTAATTTATTTAACTTTTATTTTCATAAATATTTATGAATTAATTTTAATATTTTAAAATAAATTATTAATAAATAAAAATAATATTATATTATAATATAAATTATTTATCATAAATCTAAAATATAATTTATATATTTAAAAGTATTTATTTATACAAAGAAACTTCGTTTCCTTGAAGTTGTTTTGGTAAAGTTTCTTTTGGCTAAAAACCTATTTTGGTCCCT